ATGTTTGATAAAGGAAAATAAATCTTTTGATAATTCAAACACACTATTACATTTATTTGGATAATGATGATACTGGAGGGGAAGGGAAGGAACAAGAATTCAGGGGATGGATTCATAGTAGTAAACTTGTGTTTTGACTTCAAATCTATCCACCTTTTTTGAAACGATTTGACTATTTATTATAAGAGAAACAAGATCCCTCAAATTCCTATTCTTTCTCTGCTTTTCTTCCCCCAATTAATATCAAATTAAAAGAAACAAGATCCATCACCCTCTTACACTTTTTTCTCTCTTCATAACACGTTGTTAGTGCTCTTACATTCTTATTAGCCGTTAGTACATAATTAATGACATAGAATTATTGATGCTAATATGACACAATTGATGAGATAATCACTTTTAATGTGGTGGTAAAGGTGGTAAAGAGAACTCTTTACCACCTCATTAACAGTGGTGATATCGATGTAACTAACTTAATGTGAACATACATGGGCTGCAATTTGAATTATTTCCTTGTTATTATTCATTTATTGCAATACAAAATCAAAATCATGATTCTTTATTTATGGCATTGGTGTATTAATTTGATATCATATTATATGTGATATGTGATATGTTACCATATTATATGATATGTTACCATATATTATATTATTATGTTAGTTACCATATATTATATTATTATGTTAACTACCATATTATTTTGACATGTTACTATATCAATTTGATATTATTGCTAGGAGGTTAATGAAAATTTATAATTCATGCAATGTATGTTTACCATAGGCTGAACTCAAGTTTAACTTTGTTGTGAGGATGAATAATTCAAGAAAAACGATGTAGTTTAAGATTTATATTTATGGAGAAATTTGGTAGTTTAGATACATACATAAAGAAAATAATTTTTTTTTTTTACAACAATTTAAAGGCATTTACATAACACATTTATTTGAACTTATTAATTTTATTTTATTTTTTTTAAAGTCAAGAGAAAGTGTTGTAAGGTTAAGGATGCGTTCTATTCACTTGTTTTTCACTTATCTAAACTTATTAGAACTTATTAAACCTTATCTATATCAAAACTTATTTTAGTTGTAATTTGTAATTGGGTAACCCTTATTAGAACTTATTTTTTCTAAACAGAATTTATTACACCTAAAATAAGTGAAAATAAGGTGAATGAAATAGGCTCTTATAGCTTGATATGGTAGTCAGCCAATGAACCTAGATAACTCTTTCAATTAACTATATATTCAACTTAAATTAATAATAACTTCAATTCCAATAAAAAAAAAAAAAAAAACCTTTTAACAAAAACTAGTTAGTTCTTTTTCTATATACTGTATATCAACTTTCAATCCATTTTTTTTAACGTTCTCTATGAAATTGATAACATTTTTCTACTCTTACATCCTTACACCACTATAAAATTAATTACAAAAATTAATCTTTCTTTGATTTAGTTTGTTTCTCAAAAAATTCTTCGTCCACACACCACACATTTAATCAAATTCTCTCCTCCCAAGAAAAATTCATTCATCATTATTCATTACATTGTTAAGGATGAATAATAATAATAATAATAATAATAATAATAATAATAATAATGGTGATGGTAAATGTTCATTTTTTAATGAACATGAAAACATGTCTGATTTTGAACCATTTACTTTTGATGATCCAGATATAATTTTAAACGATGACTTTATAGTTGATTTGGCCCGAGGTATTCGACTTGCTTTTTATGCTGCAAATCCAGGTGCTTCTATGACAAAGGAAACATCAAAAACTGACTCTTTTTTCAATTTTGAAACTTTAGATAGTATCAAGCGCGAAATCATGATGCAAAGAGGTTCAAGCTCAACCACCATCCCAGCCACAACCCAAAAAACTACACCACCTTTATCAAATGCGCCGATTGCAAACCCTAACCCGGTTGAGCAAGCCCCAAACCCCATCCAAATTCAATTGAATGAACCCTATGTAAGCACATTCCTACCCATGGACTCATCCTTGTCCCAACCAAATGGGACCGTTGTTGTAAACCCAATAACCCTCCCAATCCAAGTTGCGCCCATGCAACCATTTTCAAACCCCATCTCATCCTTTCAGGTTGTCGCACCCTTTCAAATGAATGCGACCGTTACATACGGCAACCTGATTTCAGCCCATGCTATTGCACCAGCTTATCAACAAAATCATATTAATAATCCTTGCGCAAATTTGTGTTGGCAAGTCAGACAAGAAGCAATCTTTGTAGATGAGCCTGCAACAAACCTTTGCCTTTCAACTCCTATTCAAGAGGCTCCTATTCAAGATGCCCCTCCTATTGCGACCCCAATTAATGTGCCTCCTCCTCGTCGTCGTGGCCGCAAAGAGAAGCCCACTGGTCTGCCGGACACTTGGATTGTCACGCAAACCACAAGGAAAAGTGGAAAGACTAAGGGAGTTGTTGACAAGGTTTATACAAAAAAACTAATAAAAATTAAATAATCCATTTTATGTAATTATTTTAGTACTGTGTAATAATTAAACTTTCAAATTTGTAATGTGATGCAGACGTACAAAAGCCCAGATGGTAAGTATTTCCGCTCTTGGAAGACGGCAATAGTTCACTACAGGAACACTGATGGGAAAGATGATAAGGTATACGCTCCTTTATATATCTATACATACATATTAATGTATAATTGTATAGCCATCCTTATTTTATATCGGATCAAAATCTAATTTTTGATTAATTATAACACACGACTTGCTAAACAATTAGTTAGATAGTGTACTAATATCATGTGTAATTTTATATGCCTATCTAGTATATATATGTTTATAAGTATATTTATTACATATCAATTGCACGTGGGTACTTATTACGTGATAAAGAAGTAATAAAAAAAATTAATCGCATATATATAATTTTACTAATTTATATGTTTATATATATACATGGCCTTTAATTTACAGGGAGAAGGAGGCTCATCAAGTGGTGGACAAGCGGCGGCTTGAAGACGTCGTGTCTTTAATCATTACAATGGTGATTCATGTGAAGTCAATGGAGGTAAAGAGCGAGAAACATATGGGCAATACAATGAAGTTAGTATGAATAGTTCTCAATTTCTTTCATAGTCTCATTTGAATCTATTGTAAATGGTGGTGAAAACAATTTTCGTTTATTATTGTTGTATTATTCCTACCATTTCATGAGATATTTGGTAGATGACTTTTTGTTGCTTGTTTATTTATCATGGTAATAGTTTCTAATGTTATTTTGAAACACCTTTATTCTAGCAATACCAGTTATTTGGATCTTCTATTTCTTCTTATAGTCTCCAATATTATGTGTGTCACTTACATTATTATTGGTGAATGAATTCATATAGTTTTTTAATCAAGATTGATTAATATTCAATGAGAACTTGATTATATTGATACATATAGTTTAGGGAAACAAGAAATTTTAGCTAGGAACCCTTTGATGAAGATGTCAAACTACTTCAAACAAGCTTTTTTCACATAGAAATTTAACTCACAAATAGCTTGGTAACTATAGTGCCCGTACGATGTACGGTAGTAATAATTTTTTTCTTCCCATTATTAATTTATGATATAATATAAAAATGAATCAACTCGTGTAAAATAAACAAATGCAATGCGTATAAGAAAGATGAAATGATAAGGCAACACTACTACAAAATATGGATAAAGGATCAATGATAAGAAACCACAATTATTAGATAAGGGGTTCCTTAATAAAGGAAACCTATTTTCTCTAATTAGGGGTTTCTTATACAAGTGTATAAGAAACCCCTTTTGGAAAAATGTGGTTCCTTATCTAATTATATAATTTTAGTGCTATTTAAGGAACTACTTTTTATGAAAAGAGGTTTCTTTTTTTTCTTTCTTTTTTTTTTTTTTTTTGACGGGAAGTAGAGGCTTTTATTAAGTACTCATAGAATCAGAGATTACACAAGATTGAGCCTCAAGTGGGACTTCTTCAATCCACACTCTAAGCTCGGAAAAGTTTCTGCTTAATTGTGCTAACCTATGAGCAACTATATTGCCTCTTCTGCCAACATGAGAACATGAGGAAAAACGAACATAATTTTGCACGCTCTATAAAAGTCACGCACAATCAGTCCTAGATGAGAAGCCTCGATTCTTTGCTGCTTGAGATGGAGATATAAATTCAGGCTATTCGTTTCAAGTTCAATTTTATCAAGGCCAGCCTCAAGTACGTGCAATGCTGATGGAGTGTCTAGCTGCAAGTGCCTCAGCAACATCAACACTCACATCCCCTTTATATTTCAAGCAGGTAGCAGCCATAACATCTCCCACATGGTCGCGCATAACCCCACCAAAACCTACAAAACCATCAGCAAAACACGCAGCATCACAGTTAACTTTATAGCAGCCCACACTCGGTGGTTTCCAGGTCTGACAGATGGGGGCAACAGCAGCAGGAGGAACATGAACACTAGCTATTTTATTTGCAATTTCAAACTCCCCAACAATATGCACAGCTCTCTTGATCACATTAACTTCTAAGACTTCCTTTTTCTCAAACAGCCAGGCATTTCTTCTAAGCTATATGCCCTAAATCAGACTCCAAAACAAACTCCACCAAGTAGAGTCTATAACCCTTTTTTCTGAAAGTAGACACACCAGTCCCAAAAGGACGATGAAGTACATCCACTTACATCCAGACGGAGAGGCGAGGAATACCATATTTTGGAGGCACCAGAACACAAAACTAGAGTGTGCATCAGGTCTTCATTAGCATCACCGCACATTAGGCACGCCTTATCAGTAATCATACCTCTCTTAGAGAGATTTTCACGAACTGGAACCCCATTGTGTAAAGTTTTCCATCCAAACAACCTGATTTTTGGGGGAATAGCTGCATTCCATGCTTTATCCGGATTTTATCTTTGCTAACAGAGGAAGACGAGGCCTTGTCATTTCTGTGAGTGTACATATCATCATAATAAGCACTTCGTACACTAAAAGACCCAGATTTTGTAAGTGTCCATGACCAAAAATCCTCACAATCATACTTAGCCACAAGTATACTAGAGATTGCTTCAACTTCCCACTCAGAAAAGTGAGCTTCAAGCATATTGTGATTCCATATACCATCAGACAAAAATTCACTAACCAGCCTTGGACCCTCAGGGTCAGTAATCTGCTTGGGGAGAACACGGAATATTAATCTAAAACTATTTCTAACCCACCTTCAAATTAAAAAAATAAAAAATAAAAAACCTATTTCTAACCCTATTATCATACCAGTTATCTTCCATTCACCCCCATGAACCACAGCCGCCCCCACCCATCCACTGATCTCTCTTCTCCCTCTCTTACAGTTCTAATCTCTCTTCCATTGAAGCGAATCTCGAGCTTTATAGGTAAACGTTATCAATTTGTTATTGTAATTCGTTTTTTTTTCAATTTCATTTCTGAATATTTCGATTTTGTGTTTAATCATCTTTTCACGAACTTTTGTTTAAATTGTTTAATTTCGTAATTTGTGTTTTTGAATTGTTTAATTTCGTTTTTAGATTAACTTCTGTAATTTATTGAAGTACCCTAAATCAAATTTCTCTAATTTTCATTTTTCAAATTATCAAGTTTAATGGCGAAAGAAACTGGTTCCCAGCCAGCTAACTGTGTTAATCCTGCAACTAGAACACATTCAATCGGCTTAAAGTAAGCTTTTTTTTCTTTTTTTCTTTTTTTTTTTTAATTTAAATTTCAGATTTGATGCTTTTTTATTTGATCGATGAAGTTCATAAATTGTGAATTAATACTGTTTGTTCAAGGAATTGGAATGGGTTTGATTGGAGTTGATTAGCCTTGTTTGATGTGAATGTGTTAGAATTGTTGTATGCATGCTTGATTTTGTTTTTGAATTAGTGGGTAATTGTTGAAACAACTAAATTAATAGGATGAAGAAGTATAAACTTTGAATAAAAGAATTGTGGAGGAAAGATAACAAACTCAACAAAAATTTGGTACGCTAAGTATTTAGTTATTATGAATTGAAACTACTCATTAACAATGACTGTTTAATTTCCTAATTCATTTGTTGCAGACTTGCAGTTCCAATTGCATATCATGCCCATCAGTTTTTTATTTCAATGATGGTGGTGTAATCTGCTATAACTGCCTTAAGAATGATCCCTAACATATGTTGTAATGATTTGTACTACTGTATTTTAATTTTTTTTAGCCTCTTTAAGTAATTGATGCATATATGGTTCATCTCTTTGTTTGCAGCTAATTGAAAAGCTATCTGCTTTAATCCTCCGTTTTTCAGTTAATTTAAGTCTCGACATTCATTTCTTTTTATTTGTTGTAAATTGCAACCTATGATTAATTAATTTGGTGAATTTTGTGTGTTTTGTAGGTGAAAAATTTAAATTCAACAAAGGATGGTTGGAGTTTTATCAATTTTGTTTGGAGACAAATATAATTTCTTTAGAGGTGTTATAAGACCAGTTATTGTAAATGTTGTTGATTGTGTTTAGAATTTCATAGTTATATTAATATTAAGTATAAGAATTTTACATATTTGTGCATGAATATTATATGGAGTAAGGACCTTAGCTTGAAAATCTAAGGGAGCGTGATATGTAGGAATATCGTATATATAGTGGTATAGCTATCGTACATACCATTGTATGTATTTGATAGTTATATTGCAATATATATATAAATATATATTTTTTGAATTTTTGAATTATGAACAAATCAAAGAAACCCCTTTTCACTAAAAGTGTTTTAAAATGTGTTTTTTTGACAAAATTTCCATATTTAATTAAACCAAAGAAACCCCATTTTTTTCTAAAAAGTGGTTTCTTTAATGCTATTATAGAATAGTTTTAGCTTTACTTAAGAAACCCCTTCTCTTAAAAAGTAGTTTCTTAAATTGAGCAAACTAACCCCCTAAAAAATGTGGTTTCTTAACCTAAGAGACCTCTGAGCTTAAGGCCCCCTCTAAAGTGGTTTCTTAGGCCAATTTTAGGGGGTTTCTTTTCATGTTTTTGTAGTAGTGCAAAAATTATTAAAACTACAATTGACAAAAAAAAAAAAAAAAAAAAAAAAAAAAAAAAAAAAATTAGTTTTGATTAGTTAGTTGAAAATATTTTAAAATAGTATACATTATATTATATTAATGATGCTTGTTATTAAAACTATAAGTCGTATGACTTTTTATTAATGAATTAATTTGATTCAAAAAAAAAAAAAAAAACAACTATACAATGTACTTTCAAAAAATAAGCTAAGTAGAATAATTACCAAAAAAAAAAAAAACACTTAAAGGTGACATCCTATATTGTATTGGCGGAAATTTTTTAATGATAGCAACATATGTCCAAAATTATCGATGTAAGCATAACCTGTTTTAGTAATACTTAATAGATGTTTTGAAGGAAAAAAAAGTTATAAGTTGGCAAAATTATTACAGAAATAATTAACAGAAAAATAACTTTATTATTATTATTTCATAAGATTTCAAATCAAATCCATGAATAAATATGTTTTTTTTTCATCCACTATTGTAAAACTATATAATGGTAATATAAATGTTAATGTTGTATTTTTGGCTCCGTTATTTTATACTCTCCACCATATATCAACCTTCTAAATTATAATTTATTCTCCCTTAATTAAAAGATCTCAAAATCTGGTATAACTATTTTAAGTAAATAAAACACGAAATAAAAAGGAATACAGTTATTATAAAGATAATATATAAAACTAAATAATATATTATTATAATTGTATTATACAAACATTCTAAAAATAAAGATTTTTGCTAAAAAAAGGAGGAGGGGTTTTGGAGGGAAAAAACAACACAAGGAAGTGACACATGTCATTTCTAATGTCTGTTTTAGTATTATGTTATTATTGGTTGATGACGATATTTGTGTATGTCAGAGTATAGTATATGAATTTTATGGATAAGATTGTATTTATTCAAATATCTATTCAATTTAATTAATACTCGACCAATGAAAATATTAAAATTTCATATGATCATGACTTCAACTTCATACTAGTCGATTGAAAAAGGGTTACATTTGTCATTTTAGCCCTTCTTCTTTAATGGTTACGGAGTACATTTTAATTATATCCTAATTAAAAATATTGTTTTTTCTATACACATTTTCCCCTATATACATATTTTCCTACAACTATCCCCATTTACCTACTCCCAATGTAACTATTTCTATTATCGAAGTTAATTTAATGTCCTTTTTTTTTTTTTTGAAAAGAAAATTAATTCATTAATGGAAGAGTCATACGACATCTACAATATAAATCAAAACTAGCAAATACAATACAAACTGAATCGAATAATATTCTAATTTGACAAAACTACGATCGTTGTTATCTAGATCTGACATTTCTAAATGCCCTCTTTCACACCGCTGTTTGATACAGCTTTTCACGAGGGGGTCTTTCGATCTATTGTAGCTTTGGAATCGAAAACCATTCGATACAATTGATTGTAGATGTAGAATTAACCTCCATGGCAACACAGCACAACTCCTCATCAACAAATCATTTTTTCGTACGAAATTAAAGAACATAGCCCCAAAACTCTCAAAAAGAGAGAAAAATTAACCCGATATACGGGTAGAAATAACCCGATATAAGGGTAGAAAAACTCTCAAATAGAGAGACTACAATTATTGTGAGCATAAAGTAAATAAATAGTAAGAAACTAAGAGATTAGGGGCTTACCATCAACCAAAAGGTTGGTGGTAGCCTTTTTTTTTTTTTTTTTTTTAGGATTTTTGAGGAGGAAGAGAATAATTTAATGTCTTAGTAATACTTGATATATGTGACATCTAATAATTGTTTTTCACTATCTTATTTTATTTTTCTTATTAACAGTGTAAAACAATGGATGACCTTCTTTTCAATTTTATTATTTATTTTTTTTAAAATTAATTTTTTAATTTTGGTTAAAAAAAATGAAACTTTTGTATATAGTTGTCTGGGAGAACAAACATAACATCAACACTAGTTTCAGTTTCAGAGCATCAATCTTCTACTCTGACTCTCTCTTCTTCTCCCAAATTCTTTCCTTCTCCCGAATTCTCAAAAATGTCTAGAAAGTTCTTCGTCGGCGGCAACTGGAAATGCGTAAGTTTTTATCTTTTTGTTTTTTCACAAAATCATTCATCATCAATTCAGTTTAATTTCCACTGCTGAATATAAGCACTATCTTTCAGCTATTCTTCTCCATAAATTGCTTGATAATTCTTGGTTTTAGTTGCTTTTATTCGATTAAGTATGCAATATTGACGTCGTTCTATGAAATTTTCCGATTGATCATATTTTTATCTTAATTTTTAGTTTGCTTTAATCTGAATTACATATGCAGTGGATTATGATTGTCAATTTGAATTGTTAATTTCATTAATTGGCTTTAATTTGAAGTTGAAGATTGCTAATTTCTAATTCAGAATGCTCCCAGATTAATTAGGGTGCTAATCATGCCTTAATATGATTATAATCTCTGTGTGTGATAAAATTTCATCATTAATATGAAAATGTTAACCTTGTTTGGTTAATTAGCTAAGATATACTACTATAATTTGATGGTATGTTGATAATGAATTAAAGGGGCCGTAGGCGAAATGATGTATAATTTGTGTTACACTGATGGAATCTTAGGGTTGAAGTAGGAGTGTAGGAAGGAATTGTTCATGTGGGAGAAATGAGGGTATTTTGAAGAAAGAAGAAAAGAAAAAATGTTTAGTCTGTTTGTGATAACATGATTATTGAACGTGGTAATTATATTGCTAAATTTGGGGCTGAAAGTGACTTAATTTTTCCAGAATGGAACCACTGAGGAAGTGAAGAAACTTGTGACCATGTTGAATGAAGCCGAAGTTCCCTCGGAAGAGGAAGTGGGTGAGTATATTACATTCTTACTTCTTATAATGCTTGGAATGTGACATTATTGTGATGTTATGGGAGAATGTTATATTGATAATTAAGTTAGTTTGGAAACTAAACAAATTATATGTATGAGTGAAGTCAGTCATCGATTGTTTTCTTTCCTGTTGTGGTGGTAAGGGCTTCATTAAAACATTACCATCTAAAATGGGACAGTGGATGCTACAGACAGAATTCATCATGTACAGCAGGAAGAGCTGGAGGGCTAATTGTGATTGCTAGATATTTTAATGGCTTAGGGTTTAGCTTTATTGGATGTTTCATAAGTTTATTTTAATGCTACCAATTAATCAGATTACACCATGTCATTGCTATGGTTATGCTTTGATTAATTAATGATGGATTACCAATTTTTCTTTACTTGGGTTTGAAATGATTATGAACTTATATTGCTTTTTGTTTTTTGTTCCTCTTTTTTCATAAATGATTGTATGATCATCAGTTTTCTTGGAGTCTCATGCTAGTTTACTCTACTACTTGATAATTTGATATTGTTCTGATTGACATTTAGGAATTTTAGCTTTTATGGGAGTGCCGCATGATTTATACAGTGTTCTTGACTACATGATTAGTGCTGATCATTCTTGTTTGATTGTGAATCCTGTTCTTGCCTCGTGCATTCTGTTAAAACTTCATTTGCCTATAAGATCTTCTCAATGTACTTATTTTGTTTCCTTATGTACAATTGGACCTTTTTATTCAGTCTTATTGTGATTGAACTAGCCTTTTCTATGCTCTACCATATGTAGCTTCTGTTACCTAATTAGACCCCGAATTACAAATGTCTAAATGTTGATATATATATATGCTAAATGTGTTTGATTTTTCTTTACAGCAACTTGGTTGAAGGGAAGGAAGTGTATTTAATGTCATCTTTGTCATTTTTCTTTATTTCTTTGGATATGTTATATTGGGTCTACAATTAATGTATTATCTCAAATAAGCTCATGATTGGTAGAAAAAAATGCAATTCTCTGTTTATTATATTATGCTTTTGCTTTTCCTTGCAGAGGTGGTTGTCAGCCCTCCATTTGTATTTCTTACTCTGGTGAAAAATTTATTGAGGCCTGATTTCCATGTGGCTGCACAAAACTGTTGGGTGCGAAAAGGTGGTGCTTTCACGGGTGAAATCAGGTATACATGATCTGATCTGTACCTTTGCTCCGATACAATAATTTTTCAGGCAGGATATTGTTATGCTGCATTGTAAACTGTATTACTCTGCTGCTTCTTTAGTTTGTCTCATAGGTTTTAAGTTAATGTCCTAAGTCATCTTTTAGCATACGAATATAAATTAGTACTAATATGTTTTGTTGTCTTGTTGAATAAGCTCGTTCAAATTCTAGTGTGGTGGATGCTATACTGACTAGGATTAATGTACTCAAATTCCTGTCTAACATTCATGATGTCTTCTCAAACATGAATATAGTGTATCCCTTTACATTCTCCTTGTATGTATAATCATTATTTTCCTATTAGATATGAAAACTCTACTTGTATGTTTATCGAGTGTTTCAACATGATTTAGTCTCAACATAAATCTCTTAGTCTTTCTGGTTTCCCAACCTGTATCAGTCACGTATTTGACACCTAATTTGGGCACAAGCTCTGTGATCCTTGAACTTTCGTATGAAATGTGATGGATATCTTACACTTCTTTAGTTTTCCAACCTGGATTAGGCAGTACTTGACACCTAAAGTGGGTGCAATTTCTTAAATGTGATCTTTGAACTTTTATATGAAAACATTTACCTAGTGAGCTGAGTCTAAGTGAAACCCTCAGATTACAGGAGTCCTCACTCAGGTTTTAGAGCATTGTCAGTGTTGTTTCAGTTCATTTTTCTCCAATATGAATCCCATCTTTTATGTTGAGGAATATTTTACCTGCTCATTTCATCTACCTTGGTGCTTTGATTGATAGCATTCTATGAAATAATATGTTACTTGGACTTGGGTACCCATGTCCGACACGGGTACGTGTCCAAGCGTCCGACTCGGCTATTTTGTGAAAAAATTCCATGATTTTGAACTAAAAGTGAAGTGTCTGGGTGTCATACTTGATAGGCTGTCGTCGAGCCTACCAAAGATAATCCTATCTTGATCTCACTAGCTAATAGCAAGGGTAAGAAAGGGTAAAACCCAAGAGAGGTGTTGAATCATCCACCAAAATACTACCGTTTAAATAAGCTAAATCAAGAAAAATTTGGTTTGGTTTCAAGTAATTTCTACTAGTTCTATTCAACTAAAGACTAAAAGGAGATTAACAATATTAAGAGGAATCTAGGGCTCGGGTTGTACTACTGAACTTCATCACGAATCACAATTAGCATGCAACAATCAAGGTAAAATAGGGGATAAAATAGGGGAAGTCATCTAAGGCACCTAACTACTCTCTCAAGCTAGAGGGGATTACTTGAATCATGAATACAACCTACTCTCATGGTTACAATGCATAAAACAAGTATTAAAGCATAATCACGATGACAAAAACATTCTGTTGACTGGAAATTCCTATTCTCATGGCATTTCAAGTCAATTAAGCATAAAGGGGCTGACTCAAGTTCATCTCTCGATCCTTAGATGAGAAAGCTTTGATAAATAGTCCTAACATTGGCCAAATGCAAGAACTAACAAGGAAACCACTTAAGCTCAACTAATTAACACCCCACAATTACCAAATTATTACATGCAACAAGTTATTAGTGACTACATTGAGGGCTTTACCCAAACCCTAGAAATTAGACTACTCACAATCAATGGAAATTAAAGCAATTAAAGATTTCAAGCAATTCATGAACAAGTTCAAACTAAGAATTAAACTAATGAACAATCTAAGCATACAAGAATTAAGCAAGTAATTAACAACTAAGTAGAGAGAAGATAGAAGAAAAGAGTAAGAAATAGTTACTAAGAAGCTTCAAACTTGAATAACAATGGTGGAGTTCTTCTTCTACAATGATTGATGTTAAATTTCCAAGCTAAGAATTAAAAGCTACTAATGATTTGAGAGTTTTTGATGTTCTAAGATTACAAACTAAGAGAAGAGCTCTAAAAACCTTGATACTGTACAGTGAGAGCTAAAGGGGGTATTTATATTACCCCCAAACAAAAAGGACGGAGAAAACAAGAATCGGGGTCGATTATAGGTCTGCACGGACGTGCCAAGTTGTGCAAGGCCATACAGGACACTTAAAATCGGGGCAGAAGCTACTGATTTGGGGTGATGCAGTCGCACGGTCGTGCAAAAAATTGGCACGGTCGTGCATCCGTGCAGACCTGGCAGTGAGGCTTCTAGCTTCTTACTTCCCTTGCACGGACGTGCAAGGCTTGGCACGGCCTTGCAGGGTCTTCTTGGCCCCTTTTCTTCCTTCTTGCTTCTCCCTTCTACCAAAACTCCCTTTCCTTGTCTCATTGATGCTAAAGCTCCTTCTTTGGACCTAAAATGTCATCAAAAACAATAACAACCCCGTGAAATACGTAATACACATAAATGCATAAAGATGGAATGAAAAGTGAACTAAGACATTGATTTCTCACAATTTCGAGGTTCAAAATCACTCTATAATCATACCAAAATACAAGTTATCAATACTCATGGCCGATTGTTGAGGGCCGGACACGGGTATATGAGGTGAAATGAAGAGTCCGAGTAACATAGATGAAATATATGTCGCTTCATGCAAATCGTGGTATTTTTCAAAGCAATTACTATATTAAAAGAGTCTTTGGGTTGTTCATTTACTCTAAACGGTAGTCTTTATGTTAATCATTTGCCTGTGTTTCCTGTCAAGAAGTTTTTTAAGCTGTAAACTTTGATCTAGACTTCTTGCTTTGGGCTTTGAGAAAAACATCGACTTATATGTACAGATTATAGTCATCTTCGACCATTTCTCATTGTATTTAGTTTTCTTGGTCCTTTTATGTTTGATGTTTGCAAATTTTTTGTTCACATGAAAAGTGTATTATGATTTTGGATTTTATGTGTTGGGCTGATGTTTAACATCCTCTGTCTTACACTGTTTTCTCTATTCATTGTTGCAGTGCAGATATGCTTGTCAATTTGGGTATTAACTGGGTCATCCTGGGTCATTCAGAGAGAAGAGCCTTGTTAAATGAGACAAACGATGTATGATATGTCACCTTCAGAATCTTCTATGCCTATTTGCTGCCTTACATACTATGTTTTGCTTTGCTTACAGAAGTGCTGATATCTGACTAATGCTCCTGTGTTTCCTCTTAGTTTGTTGCGGACAAGGTATCACATGCGCTCACCCAGGGCCTGAAAGTGATAGCTTGTGTAGGTGAGACTTTGGAGCAGCGTGAAGCAGGAACTACAATGGAGGTGGTTGCAGCTCAGACAAAAGCTATTGCTGGTAAACTACTGCTATATGTTTTTAAACGAACTGCATTTATATAAGCATTATATGGAAGATTAGTCTGTGTCTAATCCTCATCAGCATAAACTTGCAACTAATATTTTGTTTATTGCTGTGTTGATAGACCGCATAATGAATTGGGATAATGTTGTTGTGGCTTATGAACCAGTCTGGGCCATTGGAACTGGAAAAGTTGCAACTCCTGCTCAGGCTCAGGAGGTAAGTCTAGTTTCCAGAGAGCATTGACATTTTTATTTTTTTTGCCAACTTGTTGCAAGAATTATGATGTTTGATTAAATTTAATGTGACATGCACACTAATGCTGAGTGATTGGTGTTCTTAGCTTCTATGTAACTTGTCTGATCATGAAGTGTTATGCAAAGAGCTAAGAGGAAATGTAAATATGTAACACAGAATTACAGTTGATTTTTATATTTCATTGTTTCCATCATTTACAGGTTCATTTAGAACTGAGGAAGTGGCTCAAGGAGAATGTCAGTGCCCAAGTTGCTGAAACAACCAGAATTATTTATGGAGGTATTTTAATAGCTTTAAGACAACCGATAAACTAATAGGAGTTTGTCAGTGTCGTAGTTGGTTTATCCTGTAATTGGCATTGATGATAACAGTCCATAGTCCATACTCTATACATCTTGTATCAGAACTCTTATGTACTTCTCCAGCTTTCTATTCTACCTTCAGGTTAACCCCCCATGCCTCAGATACACCCACTTAGATGCCCATATTATGTAAGATGTAACTCATTTACACACCTTTGATGCTGTTACCAAACTTTCATGGTTCACTGCAGGCTCAGTAAATGCAGGTAACTGCAAAGAGTTGGCAGGACAGCCTGATGTTGATGGATTTTTGGTCGGCGGTGCTTCCCTGAAGGTAGTGTTTTATAGCACTGGAATTTCAATTTACTGGAGTAATTATTACTTGTATATTACAATTTTATTACATCAGATAAAAGATTTGCTGCCTGATTTTCTTCTTCCTTTTTGTCCATTCAGCCGGAGTTTGTAGACATAATCAAGTCTGTTACAGTGAAGAAAGGTGCTTAATATTGATCCAGTCTAATTTCGGAAACCACTTCTAGATATTTTTGCTTTTATTAGGTGTTCTTTTGCCTCAAGTTGTGCTTCTTTTTCGGTCAATATGAATGTATAAGCTTAAGTTATTTTCTTCGCCGTTTGTTCATATTGTGTGAAACTACGGTGTGTGTTAATTAGAGATCAAGATCACAATAACATGATATAGTAGGTGGAATTCTCTTGCCAATAACTTACTCCATCAGAATCAAATCTCTTGTGTCTGAAACGAGGATTAAAAGAAAGTAGTCAAGAGTTGCCAAAGTTGTCTTAATTAATATTATGTCCTCGTGATTAAAGCATGATTTGTCACTAGAAGTTGTTCTTCCCTGAAGATTGACCTCATGATTTTGATTCTTTGTTGAAATATTTGCCTCGTACTATAATATTTTAATCGAATAGATCCAATCATAGTCTCCTGAAAATTACAAAAAACATTATTATAGTCATAAAAAGGATTTCGTATAGATTTGTATCGTCAATTAGGACTTAAAATAGGTTTCATTAGTTATAATTTTATTTTCTTTATACTAATGATGTAAGAAGTTCTGTTGGGGACGTTATCATACTTAACCTCACAAACTTGCCAACCCAATTCACCTGATTGTTTATAACTTAACCAAATTCCTATTGTATTTTTGAATTGTTTTAACACAAATCAAAATTGATTCGAACCCGAATTAATATAATAAAGTTAATAAGGAATCTAATCAAGACTTCTGTAAAATACTCGGTTCAAACAACTTATGTTTCACTTATCCTAACGTATGATAAAATGACACTTAGTATCATTTTTAATTATTGCCTTTTTACATTGTAAAGAAGAAATAATTGTTTTGAAATACAATTATAAAATTAATGATATTTTGAATCTAAGTATTACCTCCGTTTTATATTATTTGCAATGATTAGACATTTTCTACTAACACTTTACGTCAAATCTTTACAATTAATTTGAAAGTTATAGAATACTCTGTGAAGTGAATGATTGACTGAATGACGTAGCAAAAAGTCCAAGCAATAGTCGAGGTGGGCATGCAACAGTACAACACCCGTCAAAAGACAAGGCAGAAACGGGGTCAAAAGAGTGATAAAAGTCAACAATCTGATGAACAATAACAAAACTTATATTCAATTCTAAGATAACAACTTGCAGTGAAGATAAGGTCCCCCCTCTTGCCAATTACACGAAAAGCATTATTTTCTACAACCCACATGATTGTTATCTCTCCTTTTTTTCACATTATTGAATCACTCATATTCATTCATCCATATTGTTAATCTCATAATTCCTATATTTGGTTTATTCACTTTTTTTTTTCCTTTTTCTTAGAAGTTGTATAAGAGGAAGATTCATTTGCTTTTAAGTTATTACAATGTACGTATGATATTTACGTTGCATATATGGAGAGAGTAAGAGATCGAGGATTGTTCACACTGAAAAAAATGCTACAAGTATATACGTATCTAAATTTAGAGGATTGTTGAGCCTTTTAATTTGCTTGACTTTTTTTTTTCTTTACCTATATAGTTCACTCGTATATGTTTACTGTTTTGAAGTTTAAGTATGAATGGTCTATTTACAATTGTAATGTAATGTTCTATAATAGAAGTACATACTAACTTCGCTGAAAAAGTAAACATATAAGATAATAACATAGTCATACTTTACAGGAAAATATCATGAAAGCAACTTAATCCAATAATAATTCATACACTGTAATTTTCTTTAGAATACTACTAGATTATAATCATAATATGTTTATTTTAGTTTTTTATTTTAACAAATAGTGTTGCTATTTATTAGCAGTTTTATTTATTTTTATTAACTATTCAACTTTAAATAACCAAAAAAGATAAACATACACAAGTCCTCTACCAGCACCGCGACCGCCACCACCACCTCTGATAACACGGTCATGCAATTGACCTTGGGACAAGAAGTAGATATAGTCATATCTATAGCTAGAGATAATATCTAATTGCAATTTGGCATGTTAGTATTATGACCTTTACAATAGCAATTTGAGCTATATATGAGTTGCCACCCGTGATTTGTTTGTTATCTATCTATAAAACTAATTAGCCTAAGCTAGCTAGGCAGATATTTTTTTTCTCACATGCTTGATTCCATCACCTAAATAAAAACTCATCTAGTGGGTTGCTAGAAGATTGGACAAATTGAACAAGCTAAGCTTATCTACAAATGAAAGTAGATAATCCAAAACGTGACCTTGAAACTTGAAAGTACAGGTTGTTAATTAATCTCTTAGTTAATTAATGAGGCTCAGCTACTAATTTTATAAATATCCTGGAATTGACTAATACGTAATAATTGACCACAAATGCAATTACATTGGCGTCTAAAGGTCAACTGAGTTCAGTGTTAAGTTCCACCCATCAAATATTTTATATTCCGTACCATTTATTTCAATAGCTAGGTTATTGTAGATTTGTAGAGTAGTTAGTAGCCACGTAAAAGTACAAGCTAAGTATTAATACCACCAAAAAGTCAACCATGCATTTATTTTGACCAAATTTAAATGGGAGTTGGGAGCTTGGGACCAAATTTCACATATGCTCTTTAACCTAAGAAATTACTTTAAATTAGTTTTATGTGCTATGCTAGTATACTCACCAAAAGAAGAAAGTGCAAGTTATCCTCTCAACTACTTCTAGTACATTTTCTTTATGTACCATGTTAGTACGTTACTAGTGTTTCTTAGCCACCAATTTGATTGTCACATGTCTCGTTTGGGAAAATTATGACCAATTGATTACTCAGTTAATTGGTTGGTCACTCCATTGTTTATTTTGTATGTGTGAATGTTTCTTTTTTTTTGTTGTCAAAACACGTATAATTGAAAGAATAAGTTTGTGTAACGCTGATGGCACACATTCAAGTTTTGAGAAACTAGAATATTGTCCACCTACACCTCAAAGGCTCAAATTGGTATGGCTTGATTAACTACACGACTACACATATAGTATAACATATGAGATACATATAATTGGTTTGGCTTGGTTACCTCATTTTTTGTACTTCATATTTTCTAGTTCTTTTTAATTACAGAGTACTACATATAAATATATTTAAGAAAAAAAAAAAAAAAACCTTTATAAACATTGGCCATTTATTTTTACAATTTGACTTTATTAAGAACAAAAATTTACATGCCAAATCTTATTAAATTGGTTTTGATGAGTTTATTCATAATATTAATTTTTTATATATGTAATTAAATTATTCTATACATTAGTAGAAGATTGATGAATTCAATCAATCATACAATAAGTTTTTTAAAATTATTATTAAAAAAATGTGTCGACATGAATTGATCAAGGCAACCTAGCTAGAAGTTGGGTGAACGTCAACTAATGATTAGATCAGAAGTATATAGTTGACCTCCCTCACAAAGCAATTTGTGCAGGTACACGAGCGAGTGCATTTGTACAGCTAGGTTATGTACAACCCTTTTTTTTTTTTTTTTTTTTTTTTGACAGTGAGAACTTAAAAAGACCAAAAAAAAACTCTCCAACACGAGCCTTCCCAGCCAACCAATGCGCTGCAGATACCCACTGCCTAGGAACTTTCCGAATCTCACAGGCCTCAACAGTAGCCAAAAGAGCCTGAATATCCCGAATTAACCAGCAGAGAGAAATGTCGTCACACTGTTTTTGGGCCAACATCAGACAAAGAGGTTCGCAATCTGAAAAAATAAGGATCTTATGAAAACTCCTTGCGTGGACATGTCGTAACCCCAGTAGCAAGCCTGTAACTCGGAATGGAGAACTGAGGAGGAGAAAGAGCACGCCCCCCCCCCCCCACCCCGCACTACAAGCGAATCACAATCTCAAAAAATCCAACCTACACCAATCGAATTGTCCAAGGACGACCAGGCCCTATCACAAATCAAACAGATATCAAAACCTGAAGCAATCTCCCCACAAAGAGTGGTCGCAACACCTGAACTAGACATCCTAGGTCGAAGATCCCCCGAGAAAGGACGGCTGCGGAAATCCTGAGCTTGTTGACCCTGCATAAACCACCGAGAAGCAAGAAGCAGAACATCATCCGGAGAGACTGCTTGATGCCGAAATCTGACATTATTATGCGAAAGCCAAATAGCCCATAAAAGAGAGAAAAACCGCACCAAGTTTTCCCAGTCCTTAGCCACCCTTAACAGTGAAATCATCGAGGAAAACCATTGAGGAAAAAGGCAGGCGAAGAAGACCCCGACTATTAAACCGAAATGAACTACGGACCCATAAAGAGACAACAAAGTTGCAATCTCTGAACAAATGGTCCACCGTCTTTAACTCCCTGTGGCAAAAACAACAAACACTAGTAGAAAAAAGGAAATAGGCACCGCACTTTTGGCACCGGCTCTTAAAAACCAGTGGGAAAGAAATGGGCGGGATTGGGAATACAGACTTTTGGCACCGGTTCCTATTAAACCGGTGCGGATTTATCCTTTTCGCACCGATTAACCGGTGCCAATTAAAAAAAGAGAAAAAAAAGAGAGAGAGAAAACCGGTGGGATTTCGCACCGGTTCAAGCCAAACCGATGCCAAATAATATTTTACAAAAAAAAAAAAATCAGGCTTCTTATAAACCCTTAACACTATTCTCCTTCTCTCTCATCTCTGTTTTTCGTTCTTCTCCCTCTTCTCTTCTCTTCTCTGATCTCTTTCATCTCTTCTTCTCTTCTCTCTTCTATTCCTTCTGATCTCTCGTTTTTCTCTTCCTTCTAATCTCTTGTTCATCTCTCCTTTTTTTTTTTTTTTATTTATTTCTCTCGTTTTTCTTACTCTTGTCAACAACCAACGACACTAAGCATAACAACCGTCGTCATCGCCGTAGATAATCAAGATTTGAGGTTAGGATTTCTGGGTTCTTTGAGGTTAGGGTTTCGGGTTCTGGGTTTCTGGGTCATGGGTTTTTGTTGGTTTTTTCTCCGTTTTTTGGGGTTTATTGGTATTTAGGTTTTTGTTGGTTTTTTTTTTTTTGTTCACAGTTTCTGGGTTTTTTGGGTTTTAAGTTCGAAATTTTTAGGTTTTTTTGGGTTTTTCTGGGTTCGAAATTCCTGGATTTTTCTCAGTTTTTTCTGGGTTTATTGGTTTCTGGGTTTTGGTTGGTTTTTCTTGGTTTTGTATTGGTTTTATTTTCTTTCAAAGTTTCTGGGTTCTGGGTTCTACATTTCTAGTTTTTTTTGGGTTGTTCTGGGTTCGAAATTTTTGGTTTTGAAATTTCTAGGTTTTTGTGGGTTCGAAATTTCTGGGTTTTTCTGAGTTTGAAGTT